AAAAAGAGTAAAGGATTATGGTTTGTCAATAAAATTGGTGCTCAAAAGAAAAAAGGCGATTTGTAAGTTTTGATGGTGGCTCGAGATGGAGAATGGGTTAGGATTTGAGAAGGATTATGGTTTGTCGATATAATTTGGGGTAATAAAAGTGACGAAAATTGTCTTCAACTGGAAAAAAAAAAAAAAAGAAAAAAGAACACAATTTCCATGTGTTAGGGTATAATTTTTTTGTAGACCCAAAAGTAATTTCCTTTGACCAAATTATTAATATCTTTCTTAACACTGAAAAATATGAAACATGACTTCCAAAATCATTTTTCTTTATTACTAAATAGAGTTTTAGTGATCTTATGTGGTAGTGATATTAGATCATGAAAGTAATCGAATCACTACATTAAAAAGTGATCTAATTTTCATCCAAAAAAATGAGAAACTTTTATCATTGAGATGAATTGATATCTAAAATTAATAATAGTCCATATTATTCATTTAATATATAAATTAAAATTTTGATTCCTTTTAAAGTTGTAATTATTTTATATTATAAATTTTTATATTTTCAAATTAATATTCATTATAACAAGTTCAAAAATAATTTGTGCATTTTTTTATTTTTTAATGTTTTATATATAATATAATGTATTTGTTTTTTTATTATGATTTTAATATATTGGTTTTATTTTCTAATTCAAATGTTTTTTATACTATTTATATTATAAAAATTAGCTTACTTAATAAATTAATTAATTAATAATGTAATTATATTGATTATAAAATAAAAAAATTATTATGTTTTATGAATTATTATCTTTAAACAATATATCAATCATTAATTTATTTAACTATTATAATAAGAATGGTTATTTTCTTACTTTTAAATAAAATAATATTTGATTTTTAGTAATATTAAACACAATGATCTTTAATTCATATGAATTAATGATTATTAATCAAATAAAGTGATTTTAAATTACGAGTGATAAGATTACCTTAATAATAAGATCACCTCCATGATTACATTACTATAGTGATTTTAAAAATATATCAAATACTACTTTAGGTTTATTTGTTTCTTGTAAATTGGATTTTAAAAAATATTTTTTGAAATATATTTATATTTTTTAAAAAAATATTTTATTATTTGGATGAATTAATAAAAAATATTTTTATTGTTTGGTTGTTTTTTAAAATTTTTATTTTTTAAAATAATATTGATATAATTATTAAAATTGATTTTTTATTAAAATAATAAATTTATTTTTAAATTATTAATATTTAAAATTAGTTATATTATTTTAATAATATTTAGTATTAAAATATTATACACTTAAAACAAGCCTATTTATTTTTAATATGTTAATATTTAAAATAGTATTACAATTATTAAAATGGTGTTTCTATTAATATAATAATATTAAAAACCATAATATTTATTACTAAATATTTAAAATATTTATACTATTAAAAAAGTGTATTTTATATTAAAAATATTATTATTAAATCATAAAAAAGTATTATTTATTTATTATTCAAATATAAATATAAATATATTTATCACTAAAATATAAAAAATAATATATTACTGAAATTTTGGTTCCAAACTTTTTATTTTTTAGGGAATGAGAAGGAAAAAGGAATAAAGTATAAATATTAAAAATGATTTATTATTAAAATAATAAGTTTATTATTTAAGTTCTTAATATTTAAAATTAGTTATATTTTAATAATAATATTTAATATTAAAATATTATACACTTAAAATAAAACTATTTATTTTTCATATATTAATAATTAAAATAGTATTACTATTATTAAAATATTGTTTATATTAATATAATAATATTAAAACTAATAATATTTTGATTAAAATATTAAAAATATCCATACTATTAAATTAATTATATTTTATATTAAAAATATTTATTGTTAAATCATAAAAAATTATAATTTACTTATTATTCAGGTAGCAATGTAAATACATTTATCAATAAATTTTAAAAAATAATATATTATTGAAATTTTGGTTTCAAGCTTTTTATTTTATAGAGAAGGAGAAGGAAAAAGTAATAAAGTCTAAAAAAAAGCTCCGCCTCATACCATCAGAAGATAGAATGCGGGTAACTAAAGTGAAGAATCCCAACATGGTCTAAAATGAAGTGGTCGCTTTTTTCCTTCATTTACGCTACAATCAGAAGTGAGAGCGGGAGGAACGGCCAGCGGGCTTTTCTCACCGCTCTTTATCATTTTTTTTTTTGTTTGGCCAGTCCTTATCATTTGTTTACAAATAATAATAAAACTAAAAAATAAAAAGAAAAGAGAGATGGTCATGGACATGGTCCCGCCTTAGAGTAGAGAGTAAGTTATTCGCGTAAATAAAAAAAAATAAAATTATAAAGGTGCTCGCCCGTTGTTATAGGATTAAAATTTTTGTATCTTTTATTTATATTTATCAATTTTTTATTAAAAGTTTATCGGACATTAATTTTTTTTATCAAAGAAAAATGTTATGGGTTAAAATCTTTTTGTTTTGTCATTTTTATTCACTATTTTTTCGAAAATTATCTAATTAAAAAAGAAAAAAAGATGAAAAGTAAAAAAATCCTACCTATTATCATAAAAATATATATAATTGAAATAAAAATTCAAAACACAAAAAATTGTAAAAAGCAAAAAAACTGAAAATGAAAAAAAAAATGTTAACAGAATGGGTCACATGGAAGTCTAATTGAGTTTAAAATATTAAATAATAAATTTATTAATATAATATATAAATATATAGTTAAATTAATAATAAAACATATAATTTTATATGTACTTCAAAATAAATTAAAACAAAATAATTTAAGTACACATTCGCTTTAATGTTACATCTTATAAAAAATTTGATCTATCTCAACTCAAATTCAATCTCAAATCGAATTGAAATAGATCAAAATTAATTGATACATATTGCTTTAGCATTTATAAAATTTATCTAATTAGAAATACAAAAAAAGACAAAAAAGAAAAAAAATTAAATGGAGTACTACGTCAATATCTCCATTGGTCCCATTGTTTTAAACAAAATTAATTTATTAAAAATGCATAAAAAGAACAAAAAAAAAAAAAAGGAAAAATGAGAAGAAAATTTATTGGGTGCTATGTGGACATTTCAATTGAGTTCAAAATATTAAATTTTAAATTAAGGTACTAATGATAATTTGAGTGATTAAAAAACAATAAAAACTAGGTTGTAACATGTACATATTTGGTTTTTTCTTTTTAATGATCTTCTTTTAAAAAAAAAAAAAAAGGAAGGAAGAGAAAAAGCGAAAAAATGGTAAATTGAAAAGATGAAAAGCAAAAAAATTGAGTTATTGCGTGACATTTGCAATGATGAATTTTTTAAAAATATATATATAATGGATTTAAAAAAAATTAAAAAAAAAAATAAAGAATCTTAAAAAAATTTTAAAAATCTTTATTAAATATTATTAAAAAATTAAAAAGAATAAAAAAGAAAAAGCAATGAAGAAATGTTTGATAATAAGTAGGTCTAACACGTCATAAAATAAAATCTTTTAAAAATATATGCACATTTTTATGATATTTAAAGATATTTATTAAATATTAAAAAAAATAAAAACATGAAAGTAACTAGTGATAGTAAAAAAGAAACAAAAGTACATTACCAAAATTGAATATTTAGATTCTCACAGAATAATCTGTATGCCATGTTGATGCCAGTTCCAGATTATCTAACTCAATTGGATGATCAGTTGGCTACCCCCTTACCATTCAACTAATTAAAGTGTATACCAAAACCACTTCCAGCCTTTCATTGCAATTTCAAATCAATTAGGTTTAGGGTTTTATTGGGCTAACTGTATATATGTATCAAAAGAGAATCAATTTTTCTTAGCCCCACGAAAAAAAAAAACATGAAACAATTTAATCATAGCCCTAGAAAATGTCATTGTGTTTCTAACCTCTTATTTTCATTATATTTTAGAAACTTTTTAAATTCAAAACTCTCATTATTCTTGGGTTTAATTTAGTTTATTTGTTTATTAAGTTCTTTCATAGATGTACTACATAAATGCATCAAAAGTTATTTAATTATAATAAAAATTAATATTTTATACACTGATAATATATCACTTTTATATATTATTAATAAATAATACAATGACACTTCATTAATGAATAAAATTTAAAATTTTTAAGTTCTTAAAAATAAATATTAATAAACTTATTTAGAGTTAATTAATTATAATTAAAACTTTTTTTTCTTTGTCACTTCCTTATGCATTTACCACATCTCTCTTTTGATTTTGTAATTCTTTTTACTAAATACGATTTTTATTTCACTCAAATTTTGTGATTTTAAAGTGATTTTATTGGACTTCACTTTGGAATTTTTATTTTTGTTTGTAATTTTGGATATTGACTTTGGGTATTAGGTGTTGAATGACTTTATCTACTCTTAATTTTCCTCTTTTAATCTTAGGATTTTGTTTATTTTCAAAGGAATGAATTATAATTAATTAACCTTAAAATAAATTTATTAATATTTATTTTTAAGAGCTTAAAAATTTTAAATTTTATTTATTAATGAGATATTATTGTATTATTTATTGACGGTATATAAAAATAATATACTATCAATATATAAAATATTAATCCTTGTAATAATTATAGTAGTAATTTTTATTCATGAATATAACCTCGTAAAATAAATCTGTTTCGAAGATTCAAACCCGAATGAATCCAATAATGCAAAAGAAAGGGCATATATGTAACTTGGCTTGACAAGCAACCTGGATTCTAAAATATTGGTTGATCAAACTGTCTGCCGCGACGTCTTTACTCTTTATGAAAATTACATTGCTTTAGCGTTTCTTTTGATAAAGCAAAAGATGAAACCAAAAGAGAAAGAGGACCTTGGATGCTGTTAACGTGAATTTTTCCTTTAGCCTTTAGATTCTCTCTCTCTCTCTCTCTCTGTATATCTTCTTCCATCTGAATAAAAGGGTTGGGATCTCCAGGACCCTCGTCTAATCGTACGTCATAGTTACCAATGGTTTCTCCAGATATGAAGTTCCCCTTCCTCTTTCCTCTCATCTTTTTCTTCATCTGTTCGTCTACTCCCGTTTCTTCGCATAATCTGTCTCTCAGAAAGCAAGCATCAATCCTGGTTTCTCTAAAACAAGAATTTAAATCCTCCACTCCTCTGGCTACTTGGAACGTCTCAAATTACTTGTCTCTTTGTTCTTGGACTGGCATCCAGTGTGATGTTTCGAATAGATCAGTAGTTTCTCTTGATATATCCAATTCTAACATTTCTGGTTCTCTCTCTCCGGTGATCACCCAACTTCCAAGCCTAGCATATCTCTCGGTGCCTGGCAACAGCTTCTCGGGTGAGTTTCCGCAAGAAATTCACAAGCTAACAAAGCTTCAGTTTCTAAACATATCGAGCAATATGTTCAGTGGAGAGCTAAACTGGGAATTCTCTAAGATGAAAGAGCTCGTGGCATTAGATGCTTATGACAATAATTTCAATGGCTCACTCCCATTAGGCGTCACTCAACTTCCCAAGTTGACGCACTTAAATTTTGGCGGGAATTACTTTAGCGGAGAAATCCCTAAGGCCTACGGAAGTTTGGAGCAGCTCAAACATCTGTCTCTTGCTGGTAATGATTTGGGTGGTTCCATACCTGCTGAGCTCGGTAATCTAACAAATCTCAAGCAACTTTTCCTGGGTTATTACAATGAGTATGATGGTGGTATTCCATCTGAGTTTGGCAAGTTGGTCAATCTTGTTCATTTAGACCTAGCTAACTGTAGCTTGAAGGGTCCAATTCCTCCCGAACTTGGCAATCTAAAGAAACTGGATACTCTCTTCTTGCAAACAAATTACATCAGTGGTTCGATTCCTCCTCAACTGGGCAACTTTAGTAACTTGAAATCCCTTGACCTTTCAAATAATAAGCTAACAGGGGACATTCCACTTGAGTTGTCTGGTCTTCGTGAGCTCATCCTCCTGAACTTGTTCGTTAACAAGTTGCATGGCGAGATTCCTCACTTTATTGCGGAGCTACCCAAGTTGGAAGTTCTGAAGCTGTGGCACAATAATTTCACGGGATCCATTCCTTCAATGCTTGGAGAAAACGGTAGATTGATGGAGCTTGATCTGTCAACTAATAAGCTCACTGGTTTGGTCCCTAAATCTCTTTGCTTCGGAGGGAGGCTGCAGATCTTAATACTGTTCAACAATTTCTTGTTTGGTCCTCTACCGGAGGATCTTAGTAAATGTGACACACTATCAAGAGTTCGAATGGGACAGAATTATCTGACAGGATACATACCAAATGGATTTCTTTACTTGCCAGAGTTATCACTCGTAGAGTTGCAGAACAATTACCTCAGCGGACGAATTCCACAAGATACAGGTAAGGTACCCACAAAACTTGGCCAGCTGAATCTTTCAAACAACAGGTTATCTGGGTCACTTCCAGCTTCAATTGGAAATTTCTCTAGCTTGCAGATTCTACTACTTAGTTCGAACAGATTCACAGGGGAAATTCCATCTGAAATTGGCCGATTGAAAATTGTGCTAAAGTTGGATATGAGTAGAAATAACTTCTCAGGCACAATCCCATCCAAGTTAGGTAATTGTCCCCTGCTAACTTATCTGGATTTGAGCCAGAACCAACTCACTGGTCCAATCCCAGTTCAAATCGCTCAAATTCACATATTGAATTACCTCAATGTTTCTTGGAACCACCTAAACCAAAGCCTTCCCAAGGAGTTTGGTTCTATAAAAAGCCTAACTAGTGCAGATTTTTCTCACAACAACTTCTCCGGATCAATACCGCAGTTTGGACAGTATTCATTTTTCAACTCAACGTCCTTTGTTGGTAACCCTCAGCTTTGTGTGCCATACTTTAACAATTGCAACTATTCTTCAATCTCTCCTTTAGAATTACATAACCTGAGTGGCCCAAATTCTCATGTCCCTGCAAAATTTAAGCTTCTTTTTGCGTTGGGGCTTTTAGTTTGTTCCTTGATATTTGCTGCTTTGGCAATCATCAAGACACGAAAGGTACGAAGAAATTCACATTCTTGGAAGCTAACCGCATTCCAAAAGCTGGAATTTGGAAGCAAAGATATCTTGGAATGTATAAAAGAAAACAATGTGATAGGGAGAGGTGGAGCTGGCATTGTCTACAGAGGAATTATGCCGAACGGAGAGCAAGTAGCAGTTAAGAAGCTTTTAGGCACAAGCAAAGGTTCTTTGCATGATAACGGCCTCTCAGCAGAAATAAAGACTTTGGGTACAATTCGACACAGGAATATCGTGCGATTGCTGGCACTTTGTTCCAATAAAGAGACCAATATACTAATATACGAGTACATGCCAAATGGAAGCTTAGGTGAGGTTCTTCATGGAAAAGGAGGCGGCTACCTCAGGTGGGAAACTAGGCTGAAAATAGCCATAGAAGCTGCAAAGGGCCTATGTTACCTGCACCATGATTGTTCCCCGCTGATAATCCATCGAGATGTGAAGTCGAACAACATTTTACTAAACTCTGATTTTGAGGCTCATGTAGCAGATTTTGGGCTTGCCAAGTTCTTGCATGACACTGGAACTTCAGAGTGCATGTCGGCGATAGCTGGTTCATATGGTTATATTGCTCCAGGTACAGCTTTCACTACGTGGTTACATCGACTTGCTCTCTCTCTCTCTCTCTCAATATAAACAAATTAACATTCACTAACCTAGTCTTTTGATCCTAGTGAATATACATGTCCCCTGATAAACCGGTTGCATTGCATCATTGATTTGAGAACCATATTGATCCTCATTATATAGCAAATAGATTATGGATAGAAAAGCAATGAAGGAAAGTCGGAGTTTAATCAGATTAGTCGAAGTACATAGTAAACCATACCCTATTTCATATTAGTCTTCATCGCCTCGTTTCCACAACATAGAGAATAAACTTTAGCTTGACTAAAGCAGAAGCAAAGTCGTGGAGTCCAAGGATGTGAAAGGCTCCACTAGCATAAAATTCTGCAGCACTTCCGCGACAAATGGGGTGACTCGTAAGATTTTGCATTATGTCTTGGAATCTTTTTTTTTTTTTTTTGGCTAATCATGTCTTGGAATCATAAATCCATATTTTTTGCACCGATCACACACAAACTTTTTGACTGAAAATGTAGATTAGAAGAATAACAAAATGCATACAAATCCAAAGCCTGCCTTCCCCAGAATCCTGATGGGGATCTAAGCTTACTTTCCCTATGCCCTAGAATGTATAAAATGCAAACATAAAGCACCAAGTACTTTTTCCTCTTCAGCGCAGGGATAAGCACTTTACTTGGGGGAAGAGAGCTGAGCTTTGTTTCTTTTTCTGTAAGTGTGCAGAAAGAGAAAAATGAAAAAAAAAAAAAAAAAAACCAACTATATACAATTGACGGGTCATGGAATTAAATTTGGACACTGCGAATGGAACCCCATTGCCCATATAAATGACACTTAAATTTGACAGTAATGGTGTGGTGAACCAAAAATAATTATGTTTCACTTCCTCTTATCTCAGAGTATGCATACACTTTGAAAGTTGATGAGAAGAGTGACGTATACAGCTTTGGAGTGGTACTGTTGGAGCTAATAACAGGGCGGAGGCCAGTCGGTGACTTTGGAGAGGAAGGGCTAGACATTGTTCAGTGGACCAAGAGAGAGACAAACTGGAATAAAGAAGGGGTAGTGAAGATAGTTGACCAGCAAGTAAGTAATATTCCAGTGAATGAAGCAATGCAGGTTTTCTTTGTGGCGATGTTGTGCGTTGAGGAGCACAGTGTGGAACGTCCAACAATGAGAGAAGTTGTTCAAATGCTTGCTCAGGCCAAACAACCTAACACATTTCACATGCAATGACTTTGACAAGTTGTTTTCTGGCTGTGCAAAATTCTCAACACTCAGGCATTTAAGTTCCAACCTTCCTAGGATGGCAGCTGTTAATTTATACCACTAGTATATACAACTACACCGGTGCTTTCCTTCTAGTATTTCCAAGCTTTCCCAGTTTTCCATGTAAAATACGGAAACTATTTTTTTTGCACCTCAACTGAGGGGTGTTTCCATCGGTTTTCAAAATTTAAACAAAAAAAAAAAAAGTACTGCAAACATATTGGCTTTATGATTTTGTCAATGATTTGCATGGCATATACAATCAAACAATCATGTGAAATGGCCTTTTTTGACAGTCCAGATTGAAATACAAGTTTCGTGCCAATAGAAAAATGGAACTTCTTAAATCCTCTCCTTACTGTTTTACGAGTAGAGCATGGGTTTACAAGTGTACATAAAACGTCTTCAAGTAGTAAAATTTCCAAACTAGTAGTGCTATTTACTTCCAATCCCAAACTAATCATGGAGTTGTGACTTTATCTCATAAAAGAGTAACTGATGGATGTCAATCATTCAATGAAAAGCAGATAACAGAAATGCGAAAGAAAATAACGCATCTTGAAACAGTTCCATTTTACTTTGGTTCTAAAGACAAATACAATCGATCGAGGGAGGAGGGCAGGAGCAACACACACTAGTCAAGCAAAACTTACACCTCAACAAGTATCAAGGTTATTGCTTAAGCACAGCTTACCCAAATGTACCGTACTCCCAAAACACTACATCATCGGGTATCGAGCTTATGCTTTCTGCTGAAACAAAGGTTGATGCCACAGTTATAATGATCCTTTATTTATATTATCATTGAAAGTTTCTAAATGAAGGACAAGGGTATTCACACACATACGTACATATTTTAGTCACAGTTTCCTCAAGGTATTATCTCCTTCCCTTTTGGTCATAACAATGTCTTAACTTCAGCCGGGTAAATTCTTAAATCATTAGGTCATCAAAGAAATTGCAAGTTCTGTTTTGCTAAAAAAAAATAATAATAATTTAGTCAAATTGACCAATCTAATAAAGGTTGATGTATAAGACCAATGTGGAGGATACATACAACTAATTAATTCACATCGACTTCAAAAATCATATGGGGTTTAGAGGATAAAAATAAAAAATTGCAACGACCAATTGTCTGTATCATCCAGTTAACACTAAAATTATGATACTTCTTTTCCAAGTGTTAAGCTTCAATATTACTGAAAGAATTCAATATAATAATATTCACCTAAAATGACCAATAAATATTGATTAATGATAACCTATTGCTAACTTATATAAGACTTCAAATTTTTTGTAAGATAAATATCTTAATAAATTAGAATATTTGATAAAAATTCTTCATCCACTAGAATAGCAGCAAGTGAACAAAAACTGTTGCTTGTATTATAAGTAAAGTTGGATTCTTGTCAGTGTTCTAATAACAGTGACAAATGAATGCACTGTTACAGGAAAAATACATTTTCCATTTTGCCCTCCCCCAAAAGCACCTTTTTTTTCAGCCACCAAAAATCTCTCGGCTTCCCCCTCTGCGTCTTTCCCTGGCTTGCACTAAGATTTTTTTGTATTTTTTCTCTATATTCCTTTGTTTCTTCTTTTTTAGTTACTGTTTTTTATATTATCTTATATCCATAATGTATTAGTTTTAGCTTTTTAATTCTCTTTTCATAAATTAAATTACTAAGTAAGAATCATTAATTATAATTATAAATAAATTTAAAAATTCCATTCCGCTAATATTACTGCAATTATTGGTTATTATTTATTTTTGTAACCTTAGATGTAACATGTTACTTGATGATACTTTTTTTTTCTCAATTATTTATCTACGTTTTTTATTTTATGAATAATAATGCTAAATCAATGAATTTTATCCAAAAATGGTTATTGCTCTTTCTTGGGATCCAAAATTTTTTTTTTTTTTGTTTTTCTAATCACTTCGGTTTTTTTTTTTTTTTTTTTTATCATATTCATATATTTGATGGCTCATTTTTTTTTTTTTTATGAAAATTTGATATTATTGTCTAACACCAACTCTCAACTCAATAAAATTGGCACGCGTCGTTTATTTTATTTTCATCAATATTGTTAAAAGGTCTAGTTAACGGGTAGACATGGACGTTTATAAAGGTTAGTTAAAATACTATTCTAAAACATATTTTTCATCTAGTGCACTATTGTCTTACCAAATTCAGGAAGGCACAATATATTTATTACATAATTCTTTCTATGAATATCACCTTAACTAGTTTCTACATACACTCATTAATATTTCCTTTTTTTAAAATATTAACAAAGGTAATTGATTGATGATTCTTTAAAATATTAATTAAAGGTAATTGATTGATGATTATTCCACTACTATATTGAGGGATTCAATTTAAATTGATGTTATTTATTGTAGTTATATATTAGAGTTATAATTATCAAAATCGGATTGAATTGTTGGTTGGATCAATTAAATCTGTGACCCAATACTCAAACTTATCTGATTTTATTATTAGACCATACTTGCAATTTAAAGTTATTGTATAGAACATTGGGTTCTTAATTTTAATGATTAAAGATCAAATTTCAATGCTTTAGCAACCAAAACAAAAAGGAAAATTAAAGTCAATGATATAAACACAAAACTAGAATTCGAGTCTTTCTATTTGTTAACTAACTTTTAAATTCAATTTCTGCCTACTAAATATGAATCTAAATAATGTATTTTCAAATGTATATTATTATTATTATTTAATTTTAATAATGTCTTAACTTTTTATGAAAATAATATTTTAATTTAAGCGTCATTTGGGATTGTTGCCAATTTTGTGTTTATATTTTATGTTTCTGAATTTTTGTTTCATTTTATTTTTAATTTATTGAATTTGAAAATATATTTGGATACAAATTTTTTTTTTTTTTTTTTTTTGGGGTTGCAGAAATTTGTCAAGATGAGATGAGGTTATAAGAGGAAGTGACTAAAACTTCAGATTTTAAAATGGCAGAGGTTCAAATCCTTTTATTAGCAAATTTTCATGAATCTTTTGATTTTGAAATATTAAAATTGACATTGTAGCCGTGCGAATGACCAGTGCTGGTGCCGTAACAATGCCAAAAAAGTTTCCAAAATTTTGGATGCATCATTTTTTATGTTTTCAACAATTTCAGAAACATTATGTTTTGGTTTTGGTTTTTGGATATGAAACTCTCACCAAACATGTTTTTACTTTCATTTTTTTTCTAAATTGAAACAAAAAACAATCCCAATCAGTCCCTCAACAACTTGACAATAATATTAAAAATTCTGGTTCTATAATTGTAATACCGCTGCAATGTGCGGATACCAAAGCTTGTTAAAAACCAAAGAAAATTCATCATTAACTACCCTTCAATTATATATGACAAGATAAGAAAGTACAAGGTTCTGTAATCTATGTACCTTTAAATAGTCTCAACAAGTTCTGCCACCAGCAAACTCCAATTCTCACTAGATTACACTTCATTACTAAGCAGCTGAGCAACTTCAAATCCAAGTTTAAGCAAGAAGACGGTATAATACGAGCCTGCAACTGTTGCTCATGAGTTATGAGACAGCTTCCGAGTCCTCTTTATAGCATTCTTTGTAAGAGCATCAGATATCTCTCTTTTTCTTTTGGAGTTGCTCTTGATGGTATTCTCATTGTTATTTATGTTGCTGCAATCCACAACTTCAGAGCACTTTCCAGCAAGTTTTAGTTTATCTTGAACAAAAACTTTTAATCTCCACAAAGTTAATTCACTCTGTGCGACAAGTCAAATGAGAGCAGGATCCACCTCAGTATTTGCACCCTCAATCGAAGATAGTAATCTAAATAGAAAAGATGTAGTCACAAACACGTTATTGGAACCAAAGCAATTACCTGGGCATCTATGTCAAGATCCACCTCTTGGGCTGCTGGTTGAAAGCCTGGATTGTTCTCAGCAACTATCTCCAGAGCCTTACTAAGATCTTCAGGCGACAATCGGGTGAGAGCTGTCCCAAGTTTCTTTTTCTCTTCAGTTGACATTTTTCTATATGATGGTCCATAGTTAGCATTTATAGTTAAAAGGTCTCAAAGAACTAAAAATATGAACTCAAATGGTCAGGCATGAAAACAGTAGACAGAATGTGCAAGTAATACTTCATACATATATTTTCAATGAAATTAGCCAAGCAAAATGTGATATTTTATTTATTTATTTTTTTTTTGCCAATAACCAAAATTTGATCTTTATTCTATCAACGAAAGCCAGAACTGTGATACCTCTACCAAAAACTTAATAATGTACCATCATTTACCCTGAAATTACCATAAAATGCAATTAAGAAATGAGAGATCTATGGCTGGTTGAAAATGAAATAGATGGTTAACTCCCACAGCATGATTTACCAAGCCATTACCACAAATGCAATTAAGAGCTAGAAAGTACAGTTTGTTGGAGATTACATAGATGATTAACTCTCTCTCTCTCTCTCTCTCTCTCCCGCCACAGCCACAAATTGCAACATACTAATAATTATTGTTGAAAAGAAGAGAAATCATTCTCAAATTCATGTCAACAAAGTAGTCTTTACCATATGAAGCCAAATCCATCTGATACAACTCTCACCCTGATGCAAACCAATTGATGGTATTCGTAAATTTGTGCCAAATGCATCAAAATCCATACAATTACATATCTTTAAACATACCTGCATTTCTGAATGACTCTCTGTCTGAGTTTATCCAATTGCGAATCAATCTCGCAAAGCTGAAAGAATCAACAATTCTATTGTTCAGAGCATCTTACATAAATAATAAAATTTGAGTTGGCATGCCTTCATTGATAGATAAGGATTAGCGTAAAAACAAAAATAAAGGTTGAAAGCATTCTTCCAATTTATATTTTTTATGCAAGAGGCTCCTAAAGTTACATACTTCATTGCTCAACTCTCTGGCCATGTTAGCATGAGCTGCCTCTTGTGCCAGCTTCATATCTAGCTCAGCCTTTGCATCCTCCTCAACCTGTCTTTTCTCCTGCAAGTAACCTCAAGCAAGTGAACTGACACACAACACTCCTGATTCTAGAACCTCCTGCTTAAAAGACAAAATGCTACTGAAACCAGGTTCAGATAAACCATCAACCATTTATCAGTGAAAGTTACCCATACCCAGATGGTAGCTTACCTCTTCAGCAACTTTAGGCAAAAGTTGCAGCCACTTCTCCTCAAATTTTTCCAATAAAGTTTTGGCCATTATATGGACATCATGTCTTTCATCATTGTATTTCATTGCATTCTTAAACACTAATCTAACATCAGCATAAATTTCGCGTACATTCTTGTACCCAGTATCATCCTTAGCCTCCATCTTACTTTTTATTGTACCAAAGTCCATAGGCTTCTGAATAACCTAACACACACGACCTTATAGTGTATCAGTTAAAGCATACATAATATGGAATAAATATATTAAATAATCAGAATTAAAGAAGTATGGACCACAAATGAGAGATCTTTATGAGCATACGCATATATCTTCTATAAATCTTTATCAAGAAAAAAAAATAGTATTGTGAATTTCTAAAGCACAGAAAAGAGTGTGTCAAATATAAAGGCCAATAAAAACAGAAAATATGTGTCTTCATATATATGAGAAAGATAGCCAATCAGAAAATTTAGAAACAATCAATAAGCTTTACCTCATAATAGTCATGCAAACCAAGACCTTCAACATCAACAGGATGCATAAAAGGGCGCGCCCATTTGTGCTGAGTGATCTGAAAAATGACCAGTATAATTGAAATTAACTAGTAAATATGAATAAGAACTAGTCCGCATTGCTGTTAGCACCTTAAAGCATTGACACCATTAGTTTTCAACAAAAATGGTTTAATTTTGTGCAAGACCACATTAAGTTTTAAGCAATTAGAGGAATCGGAGAGGGAGGATGACAATACTTGTATTGATTTAATAGCAATAAAGTAAAGAAAAACAATATTAAAAATGACAATGATGGGGATGCTGGTTGTGGTCGTGGTGCGAAATCCTTAATAAATTTAAAAATCTAAGTATTCTGTCTTATTACCAGCAACCAAAGGCACTCATCCACCTAGAAGAAATTGGTGAAAAGGATGACTGAATAGAGTAAAGAGTTTAGATGGAGGAAAAAAGTTGTCTGTGCGGATAAATATGATAACTGTTCAATTTAACGCTACATAAGAAGAAGAGGCAAAGATTTTTTCCCCTAAAAGCACAGACTTTATTAAGAAAAGAGAGAATGAAGAGAGAAAAATGAGGAAGAATCAAGCTCTAACATACCTTGCCAACCTAAAGGGCAAAACTTCCTAAAATATTGCCATGTGAACCATCTGTGATAGAAGTTTATACACCAGATAAGTATGAGTAGCACATACCATTCATGTAAAAGGTCCCTGATTAGAACAGCTCAGGACAACATCTTACTAATATTCTTCTTAATTTTTCTAATAAAAAGCTAGCTTTCTTTGCCCTTATCTATGTAAGAATAGATAAGATTTAATCAGAAAAAGTAAACAAATAATTCAGATGAACAAATTTGAGATCTAGAAGAAAGAAACTTGAAGGAAGACATGGGTTTTCAAATAGAAGGTGTAGCCTGAAGATATGATCAATACCTTCAAAGAAAATTCAAAATATTTATAATTACCTGGCGTAAAATCATGGCAAATTGATGCATAAGATCCTGCATTCTCTTCAGAGCAGCTGCCTCTCTATGTGATGCTTCTTGCTGCTGCTTCTCGATGCTACTAAGCTGCTTTTCCTTGACTTTGTCCTTAAAAGCAGAAGAACATTTGGTAGTAGTCAGCTGCATATTATCTGTAGTCATGTAGAACTGTTCAACATCATTGACTCTTTGCTCAAGCTGCAAGTTGAATATAGTTCTAATCAATAATTTAAGGAAGCAAGTATATAGGAAAGCTGCAAAATGCAGGAAGACTTAATATGAATAAGCGTGCAGCCACATTAGCAGAAAGGTGAGAGTATATACCAATATCAGGAAAAACAAAATAGCAAGAAAAAACTCATCAGATATCATGATGAAGTAGAAGAGCCACTTGGGCGAATTATCATCAAAATCCGACATTTTAATTAAAATTTAGATACTAGCTCCCAGTTTCCAAATATGACATTAACTTACATTTGATTCCAAAGTTGAAAAATCTTAAGAAAGGAACCAAATTCCAAAAGGAAAGAACAATCATTCAACATGTGGACCTGGATAGGCTTCCTGTAGTAGGTTTTCCTTTTTTTTTTAAATTATTCTAATTCTATGTTAGTGCAGCTTCATCTTTGGTACTTCTTAAGTAGTAGATATGCATAAACTCTAAAAGACTTGTGATAGAGTAGCTGCTATAAAATAAGAAAGACTACGTCAATCATGAATAATGGACCCAAAAAAAAAACAGCATAAATTATGGAATTCTGAAAAAGAAACTTTGTGGCCAAAGTAGTTATGGGTTTCCTTCATTTTTTTTTTTTTTTCTGGGGTTATAAAACGCTTACCTGAATGACAGTGGTGGAAATTTCATCAATGCATCGCCCTAAATCTTCCACTTCTGATTCTGGACCAACACCTTCAACCTTCACTGCTTCCATCTGCGACTCCACTTGGCATGAATTGCTAGCGTTAATGTATAAATTGGAATAATAACTTTAATCAACTGCAAAAAATCATTCACAAAATTACATCCTAATTGAGCCAGTACAAAATTCTTTTGACGAAAGAGAGAGACAATTTCAAAAACCCCGATGGCATAAAAAAGCAAAAAAAAAAAAAAAAAAGAGTTCAAAACCCTTGAGAAATTTTGCGAGAATAATTCGGTTAGCGAAGCCACGGTTCCAGAGGCAGAGGCTGACGGCAGACATGATCTTGTGGGCAGAGACCCGAAAGTATAAGGAACCCCTGCTTCTTGGATTGAATTTTCAGCTCTCATTTCTAATTTAGCCCATTGGGCTTCCATTTTGGACCGCTCTACTCGTCTTCTGCTATTGGTAATCGCAATTGCCAATTACTTATTATTATACATTTTACTTCTTTAAGGGTTTTTTTTTTTTGTTTAATCATTGATAGAATATAGTAAGAAAAGCAAGTAACTTTTGAGGCACTGATTTAGTGGTTGGAAGAAATTTTAAAATTTTAAATTTAAATCTCACAATTTATTTATTTAATTTATTCAATGATATAATATTTAATTATAATTATACTTATAATTTCATAAAAAAATCAATCAACAAATAACAATGAACCAAATACTGAAACATCACTCCAACGAAAACATGCTTATTATTATCATTTTGAATCATTAAAGAAAATACTAAATTTACAAACAATTTTTAGGTATTTCTAACTTTTCAATAAAAACAAAACAAGTAATTATAAGAATTTTACTTGTTTTGAAATACGAAGACGTGAGGATATCAAATCAAAAATTTTAAATAAAAATAATTATAAGAATTTTACTTGTTTTGACATGCGAAGACGTGAGGATATCAAATCAAAAATTTTAAATAAAAGTAATTATAAGAAATTTTCTTGTTTTGAAGTACGTAGACGCGAGCATATCAAATCAAAAATTTTAAATAAAATTATACATGGTCGAATTCTTTCACACAAATGGTTGAAAATAATAAATAATCAAAGTTACGAGTATTTATTTCATAAAATCTTAAGATTTTTTAATATTTTTTAAATATATTTAATTTTCATTGCATTGAAACTTAAAAAAAAAATTTATTGTAACAGTTTTGAGACCACCAAACGTAAAGAATTTAAAAATTGAGAAAAATAAGAGAGTTGTCACCAATCTTTTTTGAATGTGTAATTGATCACCTAAAGGTTTATCTTTTTAACAAAATTATAAAAACAGGTTTAAAATTTATCAAAAAGATAAATTTTGATCTACAAAAAATTAGGTTGAGTCCAAGAGTCAGTTACGTGTGGAGAAGGGTTAGCACCCCCATAATATCCATAAATTAGTACCAATTAATTATGTACTATTTTCGATGTTGGATGAAATAGTTTTAATTTGAAATTTAATAATAATCTCTTTTGTTTGGAAAAATAAAATTTTGCTAAAACTATTTATTTAGGAATATTGAAGAAATCTTTAAGTTAAAGAATTATCTTCAAATTCTCCAACATCTAGGCAGAATTTAAAATAACTCTTTTCGCTTAAAATTTAATACAACAATCCTTAAAATGAAATAACACTCTTTATAAAAAATAATTGTTGGTAACTTTTCAATATCTAGACAGAGTATCAAGAATTATTTCTTTTGAAATGTTATTTTTATTTTATTTTATAATATCAAAAATAAAATTTATTGTCCCTATTTTGTTATAAAACATTTTATCATCAAGTAGTAAATAAAAATTAAAGACAAAATAATGCAGACAATTACCAATGATAACACGTTAACGTATGTATGCCAATGAATGTTATGTAAGATGAAATGTAATTTTAAAGTTGGGGTCTTAAGTATAATGAGACCATCCTGACTTTCTAACATCTAGGTAGAGCTTAGGTGCGACTGTTTATATTTAAGATCTCAATTTACTATTATACTTTTTATTTATTAATCTCATTATTAATGCGAATTAAGAATTCATATAAAAAAACTTAATGAAATAAAGTTTCTTAAATACTCCATCATCTAGGCGGCATTCAAGAACAAATTATTTCATATGATATTTTCACACGTATCCTTAAAGTTTCAAAATGATTTTGAATATAGGCTTAGGTCGAGGTTTTAGGACTTGCATGATTTTTGGGTAATTATTAGGTATTATGTGTTAAATTTGGGGTTTAAACTTTTAGGACTAAATAAAACACGAATATCTCTAAAAATCTCCAACATCTAGGTAAATTTTAGGAGCAAGTTCGATTTTTATGATTTTTAAAAATTTACTTATTATTATTATTATTATTATTATTATTATAAAGAATTAATATTAATTCACTTAGTTTAAAAAAATTTTTCTTTAATAATAATTTTCCAACATCTAGACAAAATTCTCATTATTTAAAATACGATTATATCCTCTCCAACATCTAAGTAGGAAAAAGTTTTTATTATTATTATTATTATTATTATTATTATTATTATTATTATTATTATGCATATTTTATCTTTTTTGTTTAATATTTGGATTATTAAAAAAACATTAAAAGGAATTAAAAGTTTTAAAAATCATTTAGATTTTTATTATTGTTATTGTCATTTAATTATTATTATTGTTAATTATTACTATAAAACAAAAAATATTTATTTTAATAAACTCTAAAAGTTTTAAACCATGCATAAATAACAATAATAATAATAATAATGTTAAAAATGATATAAATAAATAATATATAAAAAAAAAAAAATTTTACTTGAACCGGACCGATCAATGGTCGGTCTGGTTGGTTCTAATTGTGGGGTTCAGATCGGTTCATTACGATTCGTCTGGATCGACTGAAGGCTGGCCGAGGCAGGTTAGCAGGTCTGTTTGCGCAGATCTCAGGTCGGCTAATTGGGCAAGCGCGAATCCTCCATGTTCTATACAACGTCGTTTTGCTTTTTTGTTTCCCTATAAAAAGCCCCATTTTTTTAGCTCATTTCTTCTTCTCTTCCAAAAAAACAAGTCATAGCTCTAAAAATATCCTCTCTGGCTTTGCCAGAAATCGGTGTCGCGTCATCGCATCAGTCGTCGTTTAAAGTCATCGTCGGTGGTCGTGTCATCTTTGCGAATCCAGTCTCCTTTTTGCCAGAAACAGTTTTCAATAATAGCAAATCGAGCTTTGAGGTTTCTGGATTCCCTTTTTTTCTTTTCTTTTATTTTTGAAATTGAACTAATGATTTTTTTTTCTTGTATGATAATTTTGGCACTGAGGTTCAGGTTCCTTCCTTCATGAAGTACTATGTTGTTGGTTTTTTGTTTGTTTGGACTGTTTTGGCTTTTTTGGTTTTTTTTTAATTTTTTGGTAGATGAAGTGTTTAAGCTCTTAGGAACGGTTTTAGGCTTTTAGGTGTTGGAGCTTAGTGTTTCGGGGTACCTGGATATGTGTCCGAGAGAGATGAAAAGAAAGGAGGTTGAGTGCTTTTATAGGGTTGGGTGGTGGTGCAAGATGGAGTAAATGGTGGCTGTAGGGTAGGCCATAGGTTGGCTGGTCAGGTGGCTGGTGAGGGCGACTGATCTAATAGGATTGGGTAGTGGTGGCTGGTCTGATGGGACTGGGTAAGGGTGGTTAGATTTGATGGGATTAGGCAGGGGGCTGGATAGGGCATTAGCGGCACCGTACACCAACCCTCATGCTTTTTATCTTTTTTATTTTTATTTTTTATTTTATTTTTTTAATTAATAAATATTAAAGTAAAATAAAATAAAATATAAATATGTTTTGGGCTTAAAGAATGAGATTGGGTTTCACGCCTGGTTGGATTAAATTGGGCTTAAAGCCCAATTGAGTCAAAATCAGGCCTAGAGCCCAGTTAAACCAAAATTGAGCCTGGGGCTCAGCCAAATCGGAATCAGGTCTGGGCTTGAAAACACAATACACGCGATGAATTTTAAAATGAGACTCGACTAAAAATTGGACAAATTTGGTGTCTACACCTTTAATTGGGTATTCTCAAACAACGCTAATGATAACTAATTAAAAGATTGAATTGTCGTTTATGTATATGTCTTAATAGTTTAGGAACCGTTAGATGAAAAGATTTTAAAATCGAAAAAACTAAAAGAGTCACTACTGATCTTTTTAAACGTGTGATTAATCACTCAAAAGTTTATCTTTTTAATAAAATGATAAAATAAGTTTAAATTTTATTAAAAAGATAATTTTTAATTTATGAAAATAGAATTAAGTTCAAGAGTCAGTTACGTATGTAAAAATATTAGCACCTCCATAATGTCTATAAAAATTGGTACCAATTAATCACGTTTTATCTTTAGTGTTAGATAAAATAGTTTCAATTTAAAATTTAATAATAATTATTCTCATTTTTTGAAAAAAAAATCAATTTTATTGATCCTTTATTTAGGAATATCGCAAAAATCTTTTAGATAAAAAATTATCTTAAAATTTTTCAACATCAAGATAAAATTTAGAGATATTTCGCCTAACATTTATTATAACATTTCTTAAAAATAAAAATAACACTCTTTGTAAAAGATAATTATTGATGACTCTCCAACATCTAAACAAAGTACCAAAATTATTTCTTTCAAAATATTATATTTATTTTATTTTATAATTTCACATTTTTAAACTACAATTTTTTAAAAAATAAATTTCTACATAAAAAAAAACTAAATGATAGTACAATTTGCTAGCAAATGATAATTAAATGTGTAGACATGTAAAACAAATACAAATAATAATGAATAGATGCATGTATACCAATGGATGTTATGCAAGGTGATGAAATTCAATTTTGAAAACTAATTTTTAAATATAATGAAACTATTTTGATTCCTAACATCTAGAAAAAATTTAGGTGCGACTATTTATATTAAGATCCTATTTTATTTTTTCCTTTATTTTAATTTCATTATTATTATGAGTTAATGACTCATATGAAAAACTTAATAAAATAAAATTTCTTAAATATCTCATATTTTACGAGGTATTCAAGAACAAATTACTTCACATAAAATTTTCACACATATCCTTAAAATTTTGGAATGGTTTTAGGTATGGGTTTAAGTCGGGACTTTAAGGTTGGAAGGATTTTCGGGTGATGATTTGGGGTTACATGTTGAATTTAGAGTTTCAGTTAGATTTAGGGTCTTGTTGGATTTTTACGATTTAAGGTCTCATTTGATGGTTTTGAAATTTTAAGGTTTCAATTGGGATTACGAGGTTTTAGGGTTTAGAGATTTTAGTATTTAGGGTTTAAGGTTTTAAGTATTTAAGGTTTAAGGTTTTGAGTATTTAGGGTTTAAAGTTTAGAGTTTAGGTTTTGAAGATTTAGGATTTTGATTATTTAAGGTTTGAGGTTTTGAGGGTTTAGGGT